TGCAGTGAGCCAAAATCACTCCACTGCAGTCCAGCCTGGCTGACAGGGCGAGACCCTGTCTCCAAAAAAGAAAAAAATAGGCAATAGAAAAAAACTGAAACTTTTCAGTCCTTCTTTGCTCTTATTTCTGCTAGAAATAATGTGACTATGTAATAATAAATTCTACTTAAGGGTTGTATTAGTCCGTTTTCACACTGCTATAAAGAACTGCCCGAGATTGGGTCATTTATAAAGGAAAGAGGTTTAATTGACTCAGTTCAGCATGGCTGGGAAGGCCTAAGGGAACTTACATTCATGGTGGAGGGGGAAGCAAGGCACCTTCTTCACAAGGCAGTAGGAAGAATGACAGAAGGAGGAACTTGCCAAACACTTGAAAACCATCAGATCTCGTGAGCACGCACTCACTCACTATCACGAGAACAGAATGGGAGAAACAGCCCCGTGATTCAATTACCTCCACCTGGTGGCTCCCTCGACACGTGGGGATTATGGGGATTACAATTCAAGATGAGATTTTGAGTGGGAACAGAGCCAAACCATACCAAGCGTTTTTTGTTGTTTCTTCAGTAGTAGTGCCAAAATGCTTTTTAAAGTTAAGCATGGTTCTTATAAGAATATGGAATGAAAACGTGAGAAATGTTTAACTCATTAATAGAGAACGCCAGAGTGGTAAAAGAGCGTTAGAATAACTGAGTACTTATGACCCATGAAGAACGAATTTGGGAATCAAGTTGCTAGGTTAAATACAAAACTGGTTTATGTTCTTCAGGGCAATAAAGTCAAAACCTTTGGGGTAATCTTTTCTACCAGACAGCATTCATTGCATCTCCTCTGGACAAAAATCTACAAGTTACATGCAACCTCACAGAGGCTGGGCCCTAATCAAGGGTAAATAGAAAATCAAAGAAAGGTACACACACTGCCCCCTGAGAGAATTAAACAGTCGCTGAGTGGGTCTGCTGGCATGATACTGAAATGATATGCAAACCCTTTTGCCTTATTTCTAAGTATTGGATGCTTTTTTCTGACAAAAGATAAAAATTTACATATTGGCAGCTATAGCTTTCTAGTTTCCAAATGGAGTTTGCTCTTAAAATTAATCTGCTTTTCATCATCTTTTGTGCCTGTTTTTAATGAGAAAAATGACCACCAAGCAATGTGGGCATTGTAATAATATTCCATTATATTAAAATGTACTTTAACATTGTTTTGATACTTATACTCTGCTGGGTACTAAAACATTTTATGAACAATTTAAATTTTGTATCAGGACCAAAAAAAGAAGAAAAAAAAGGTCTACATATCTGCTGTGAGTTGATGCCAGCAGCACAAGCATTGATACCCATTGCAGTTTTAAATATTTATGTGGATTTTGGACATAACCTTGCACAAGTTACTGAATTTCTTAGCTTCATCCTCTATGCAAAATGAGACCTTCACTGAACTGCCATATGTGTGATTTTGCGATTACACAAATAAACCTGCGATTACACTGTTGTGTTCCTGTTTTACTATTACATGCATATTCATAATCTGTTTCAGTGCTTCCTTATAGGTTGCTTGTTTTATAATTTGTCTTGCTACATGTTTTAATTGCATCAATTTCTTTGTTTTTCCAAAAACAGAAATAACTATACTTATCATCCTTCTTTCCTTTGTGCAGAGTGAAATGGTGTCCTTTGAGGTCCCCTAACATTAGATGTGAAATTTAACAAATCTCCCTCTCCCTCTCTTACCAATCGCCATTTTAAATTATGGGCGTTCTATTCTCACAATTTACTGTCACATTTTTGAGAAATACAGAAAACACCAATGTGAATTGATGCAGAAATTGTTAAAAATGACACACCTAGCTTACACAGCAAATAGGCAGCTTTTCCCTATGCTCTTGAAAAGCTATACCACGTTTGTCAACAATTTGTTCAGCACAGCGATATGTTAACCTAAACCAGAGTATTAGTTCGTTAACCTAAACATATTGCTGAGCTTAACAAACTGTTGACACTAAACACTAAATAAATTCAGCATCAGTTTCAGGCAGAGATGAGCTCTCTGATTTACTCAACACATTTGTAGTTAGAGAACATCGCATGAGACAATCTGGAATTGTGCCACATATTTGGATGAATCCAGAAGCAGCACCTTTTAAAACTCTTAGATCTGTTTTGTGCATGAGCTGTTCTGTTGTGTTTTTTGTTTGTTTTTTGAGATGGAGTCTCACTCTGCCACCCAGCCTGGAGTGCAGTGGTGCAATCTTGGCTCACTGCAACCTCTGCCTCTCAGGTTCAAGCAATTCTCCTGCCTCAGCCTCCCAAGTAGCTGGGACTACAGGTGTGTGCCACCATGCCCGGCTAATTTTTCGTATTTTTAGTAAAGATGGGGTTTCACCACGTTAGCCAGGATGGTCTCGATCTCCTGACCTAGTGATCCACCTGCCTCAGCCTCCCAGTGCTGGGATTACAGGCATGAGCCACTATGCCCGGCTGAGCTGTTATGTTTTTGAAGCACTCTCATGTTTAGTCATTAATTTGCATACAAGTTTTTCTGTGTTATAACTTTATTAAGTGCAGTTTGCATGCAAGACCAGAATATCCAAAAACCTTGAAAAATGGTGCAGAAACTCTGAATATACCTTCACACCATTGAACTGTACAGTTTAAATGGGTGAACTACATGATATGTGAATTATATCTTAATAAAACAAAAAACTAGCAGAGTAAACATTCATGCTCAGCCTAGGCAATGTGATGAAACCCCATCTCTATAAAATATACAAAAACTAGCTGGGCATGATGGCGCATGCCTATAATCCAAGCTACTTAGGAGACTGAGGTGGGAGGGTCACCTGAGCTCAGGGAGGTCAAGGCTGCAGTGAGCTGTCATCATGCCACTGCAATCCAGCCTGGTCAACAGAGTTAGACCCTGTCTCAAAAAAGAAAAAAAAAATCCATGCTATTACGTTTTATACACAAACTTTACTTTCGAGTTAAATTTTTAAGGGAGCTAGACTTGGCAGAAAGGGAGACATTGAGACGAGAATCAGTATAAACGCTGAGTGGTAGGTAGGGTTGAACTATCATGCCCATCGAGAGAGAGTTAAGGCCTGCAAAATGGCGGGGAGCCAAGACTACATTTAGGATTTAGAGCAATGAGAAGCCAGTGAAAAACAGAAAACCAAAAAGACAGAGCAAAAGAGCAAAAAGATAATGACTAAAAGCTGACTCGGGTATTTGCTTTGCTATCATAAAGTAAATCTGTGGATTTTATTCAGTTCCAGGTTTCAGAAAAAAAACAAATAGCTCCACACTTTTCAACTACTGTTAGGAGTCATTTTTCTAAACTTAAAAGTAACTTAAATCCATTTTATCCTATCTTACCTCACTTTGTGAAACAGAAATAACAACAATTCTGTTTTTATAGAGAAAAAAATTGGAAAACATATTTTTCTAGTAGAAAAAGGAAATAAATACTGAGATGGGGAATTATGAATGATAATGAGTATCTTTCAAAGTAAATATCAAAGGTATTATTTGGTCAGTCAGAAACTAAGAATCCAAATAATGCCTAAAGTTTCAAAGCTCAACAAGGTAAATGAATTATTCTTTAGTTATTTCCAGTAACAAGACAAAATGAGTGCCTGGGTCTCCAGTCAGCAAGTGCTGATTCGGAACTTCAGTAACTTTTTTTTTTACTGATAAAGGATGAAGAAATTTTGAATAAAATCTAACAAACCACATGAAAACTTTAAACAATTTTTCCTTTTCGTATTCCATCTGATCCCAGTCAAGAGTAAAGAGAATATGAGTCAAGAGAAAATAAAAAGTTAAGCATTAAGCACTTGCTACTCTGGGTGTCATGGCTTAAAGATCTCCCTCCCAAGACCTAGGGAACCTGCTTTTTTAAAAAGTTTTCCTAAAAGGGATTTTTCTACATTTTCATGCAAGTTTATATATATATATATATATATATTTAGATTTCCAACAAATAGAAAGATAAAACATTTTGGAAAATGTGAATAATTCTAGAAAGAGACTTTGCTTCTAGGCCATCAAACCTAATTTCCTCTCAATATTCACTTACCTACAGCCCAAATTCTCCATGTATTTTGCCAGATATTATTTATGAGCTTCAAACAAGGCAATTACTTTTCTGCTTCATGAGATCACTCAAACACATAAAAAATATTTTAAGGCTGCTGCTGATTACATCTGAGGCCACAGAAGTGACTCTGGAGACACGAAGCAAAGACACTTTCCTTTCTCCTGATTAGGGTAATTTCTACCACAGACAGCTTTTTGATAGCAGTAAAAAACTAGTTTAGGAGTGAGGCAGGAGAATTGCTTAACCTGGGAGGCAGAGTTTAAAAAAAAAAAAACTAGTTTGGGAGATCTGAGATGCAGGGTCTAAATCTTTGGAAACCAAACAATAAAAAACAAAACATTTAGATGGCATATGGCTGGCTCTGGCTTGCTTTCCCTTCAAGTTCTTCCCGGTTTTTGACAGCCTCATCAGGGCCTAATTGTTTGTTGGCAGCACCCAAATAAAAGAGATTTTTGTTTAAGCTTTATATTTACTAAGCGTTTTTTGTAATTTCCTCACCTCTCTATACATTCCTACCCAGTCACCAAATTATTACAGAAAAATTTGAACGGTGCTTGGCTTATAGTATTCAGTAAATGTTGATGATAATTGTCATTATCCAGAGACAGAAAACTATGTTCAATATTTAAATCATAAAGCATTTTATCAATGATTACTTGAGAAAATCAAGTGTAATTCTTTCAAATTATTCTCTTGTAGGACATGTTTATTTTTAAGCCCAAATGTTATGTCTCTGTAGCCTAGCATATAAAATAGCCTTATTCTCAAAGCCAATACTAGGGGGAGAAAATGGACAGGGACTAACTAAAGAACTGAGAGAGACATAAAAAAAAAAAATGCAATGAAACTCATTGGTTCTAGATCCAAATAAAAATCTACACACCTCAGAATACAGGCTAGAATGGCTGACATTACAGAATTACTTATTTTATTAGGTATTATAATGGTGGTGTGGTTATAAAGGAGGATGTCGTCAATTTCAGAAAACGTAGGCTGAAATATTTAAAGGCAAAGTACTGTGATCTCTGCACCTTATTTTCAAAGGGTTCAGCAAAAAGTTATATATTTAAATATAGAGAAAAAGCAAATGTGGCACAATGTTAACAACTAATGAATCTAATTGAAGAATTTGTATTTCATTATACTTTCAACTTTTCTGCAGATATAACATTTTTAAAATAAAAAGTTGAGAATAAAAAAAATCACAAAAATAGTTTTACTGAAGAAAACACCACACATTCCTTTTTACTGTAATATTTAATAATATACACATATACATTGGTATTTACACTTCATAAAAAAAACATTAAACCTGAAATTAACTACCTTAAACACATTAACTTTCAATGCTAATGTATAAATTTCTTAAATATAAATCAAAATAGCTCAATATCTATTTTAAATTACTGATAACTAGATGCAGAGGTAAGGAATTAAGTTACAAATTTCAATGTTTTTCAAAATTTCTTCTTTGTTTTTCTTCTTTGTCTACAATAGTCTGTTTTAAGCTCAAAGTAGCATCTTGAAATCCAGGATTTAAGTCTAATACCTTCTTGAAATCTTCCAAAGCATTATCAAAATATCCTGTACCAGAACCCAAAAAATGGAAAAGAGAAAATAAACTGAGTATTTCTATATATTATTCATGGCAAAGCTTTGATACACATACTTTTTTGCTTTTATATTTATTTATGAGCCTTCAATCACTTCTAGTAAAGGAATTTTTTTATCTTAATGATAATATAGAGATGTGTTTTGTGTGCCCTTAGGGAATAATATACCTAAAATTAGCTATGGATTTATTTATTGAGATTTAACAGGTAAATATTAGCAGTCATCTTAAAATTTTAACAAAACTGTATAGCCTGTTTCACATAATTGCAGTAAAATTAAGAAACAGGAAACCAATTTTCTTTTGACACTTTAAATGAGAAAGAGTACCTATGGTCCCTTTAATCCAAGAATCTAAACTTCACTTTCTATTGTCTTGTATGTCTTTGAAGATTTTAACTCAGAAAAGTTTCACAGGTGATCATCTGAATTGCCCTTATTTCGCAGCTGGGAATGCACAAGCACAAAATCATGGGGTCACCCCGACTCCCGTGCCCAGGTCCAATTCCCATCCCAGTGCTCTGCTGTGATCTATAACGCCTATCAAAAGCCTAAAATAAACTCAGGGAGGCTTCCTTTGTTCCAAGCTCTAAACCTAAATTTCACATAACTTTAACACTTGATTACCATGTTAGTTTTACAACATTTGAGAGCTCTGAAATAACAGAATACAATCAATGACAAAAGCCAAAAAGAAAAAAAATTCTTACCCAGCCTATACAGTATCAACCCTCTGTTGTAATATGGAACTTCAAAATTGGGTTGGACTTCTATGGCAGATGTGTAGTCATCCATGGCTTCATAAAAATCAACCCTGAAGTACTTGATTTGCCCCCTGTTGTTATATGCAGTAGCCAAATCCTCAGGGCTGCATTTGCTTTAAACAAAAAGTTCACATTAAAAACAACGTGTTACCAAATTCCTCTCATTTCCACTTTCATTCTCTTTTGAGTACTGTCAAACTTCACAGCCTATAACATGCAGCATCAAACACTGAAAAACCAAGCTGAAGAAAAAACGTACAAATAAAGAAATGAAACCAATTTTATTTAACCCTGTTATCTACTTTTGTAGGGTTAAACCACTACAATGTCAACCTGAAAATCATACTAACTTTATAGTGTGTTTACTGCCAACTTGTTCTGCTGAATATAACATTAAAATGACTGTTCATTTGCTAAGCACTCACCAGCAAGGCAAAGAACACGAGTAAGATAAATGCTGAACAAAGAGGAAAAGCCAGCCCAAAGCCCAAGTCTCCTATGGCCAAGTCACTATGTGAATCAATTTCATTCTCAAAATTTTAAGTGATCTTAAAACAATGAGATTTGAAATCATTTTCCACCAATAAAGAACTAAAGTTAATGCTAGGTAAAATTCAACATGCTATGATCCCCAGGAAGTGATCTCTGGGGACAGAGCTGCCCTCCCCCCAGCCTCGGCTGGCATCCTCCCCAATGCCAGGCTGGCTGTAGCTCTTGACCAACCACCAGCTCAAGAGGTCACAAACCCTGGCTGCCCTGAACCTTTCTCTGCACAGGACAAATAGTCTGCACAGAGAACATTAGTGGCTCTGCTGAGTCAGAAATGATTCTGTGTCCCCTCCTTTTTTCCCAAAGCAGTTCTCAAATTAGGACCAAACAGAACTCATCTGTCACTTCTTTGTAATACCCTGTAGTAAAAAATATAGTCCTTCAAAAATACCTGTAACTGCAGTTAGTGTAAATAAAAGCTACTTTTCTTAATATCTTGATACTTGAGATTTCAGACAGAGATTGTAACTACTGCTACCCTGAGAGACACTCACAGACCAAGGGCCTCCTTCAAACCAAGTTTGCTAATGATGGGGAGGAACTGCTGGAATTTTAGAAAATGTCTATTCTACAAGCCGTGATAGAGACTGGGTGTAAGGATACTTCTGGATGCCACTAAGTACCCCTGTTAAAAGCTAGATTACAAGAGGGCACCACTCCCCTTCATCTATGTCTGACATGACCCAAGTTGAACTGCTCACAAGAGTTTGAAGAAAAACACAAAACGAAATCTCAGAATCCCAGTAAGGTTTTAGTCATTAGGTCATTAAATCAAGCCTCAAAATTATTGTTATAAGTTTTAATAATTATATATTAATATATTCAGAGAATCATAGAATGTTAGATTTAGAATTAGATCTCATTAAATCAAATTCTAAAAGACTATTTTTCAAGTGGAACTCTTGTTTCATATCATAAAGAAATGGACTAACAGTGAAAGTTGACTTTTTTTGTAATATTAAAAGTTTTGTAATGATAGTATTTCTCATAATGGAATTCATTCAAGTTATCTAATCCAAATGTGGACTTTTAGGATTTGCTAACTTTCACAAAGAAATAATATTTTGGAAATTAGATTTATGACTAAAGCTATACTTATTAAAAGAAAATGTCACAAACCATTCAGAGTGAAAGGCATTCAAAAATTGCAAATATTGTTTCAAAATGATTCAGTGACCCAATACTTTAAAAATAAATGTAAGCTCCAAAAGATAAATTGAAGGGAAAAAGCTGAAATGAAATAATTCAGTTTCAATCCATGAGTTCCTAGAATTTTAGAGCTATCAGGAAATTGAAAGTTTATTTTACAGATGAGAAACTGAGGCCGAGACATTAGCCATGCAGCAGTGCCAAGATTGGAATTCAGGTATGATGCACTCCCTTCTGCGCTATGACAAACTTGTCTTTCCTGTGCTGGTAAGGTATAGCTATTATATTTGCTACAGACACTTGTGTTCTTAGGCTGAGATGTGCAAAGAAGGAAGAATAACAAGACTAAACAGCATCAGCATACCTGGTGAGGATGAATATTTTCTGAAATCTACTAGGTAAGTCTATTCTTAAAGCTTGAAACATGAATAGCTTCGTTTTCTATGTTTACTATCTTTTTTATGGGGGAGGTGCATTGAGGAAAGGATGATGGTATCATCTTATTGCCTGTTCAGAAACTTCATTATTCTGGTGTTATTGAAATGAGAAGGCAATTTTATCTTTCTAGTTTAATTCCATATGAGTGTAACAAACAGGTTAAGAATCAAGTCCTTAGTGTTAAGCCTCATACAAAAGACAAGCTGGCATCCTGTCCAGAAAACTCAAATACACAACAGACAACTCACAACTGTTCAAAAAGCTGTTCAACCAACCCCTCTGTTCTTTTCTCATCCTGGTCCACTCCATACCAACAACAATCCCAATCAAGGCAAGACTTGGGAGTAAAAGCAAATGCTACACATCTAGGCACAAGCCAAAAAGATGCTTTGGGTAAGCAGATAGTAGCAGGTGAAGCTGCTAACATCACAAAAAGAAAACCAGCCAGTCATTATGTGCTTCCTTATGAAAGTACACATCCCTACCTAAAAAGTATTCTTGCCATGGTATTGAATCTGAATTCAATTGGATCAAACCTCAGGGTTTAACTACCAACTCACAAGCAATGAGACAGATAACCATATTAAATGACAGAATATATTCAGTCAGCAAGTCCAAAACACGGAAATTCAAAGGACACAAGAATCCGTTTCCTCAACAAATAAAAGAAAAACTGTGTGTTGCGGGGGCAAAGTGGAGAAGAGACTTAAAAAGACGTGATGTGTATACTGACTTGAACCAACTGGGAAAAGTGAACCAAAGAAAAAAAATCACCTTATTAGTCAATCAGAAATGTTCCAACACTGACTATTAACACATATTAAGTAGCTACGTGATGATGACATGGTGGTTCGTTCTGAAGCATCCATGGATGAGTATTATGGGTGAACTGAATAATGCTTAAACCAAGTGATAAACACCTACATAAACTCCTTCGTTATGCTCTCTTCCCTGTATTTGTTTTTCATAAAAGTGAAGACCACTACCAAAAGCCCGGGTTGTGACACTGTGGTGGCCCTACCCGCCGTGACCCCTTCCCTTCCCAGGTCGCAGATTTTCCGCCAGCTAAAATCTCAAATGAAAAATCCCGATCTGTCCTAAGTCTCTGGGTGGCAGTACATATCGTGGAAGAGACCGCTGGGTGAGAGGGGGCGGCCCGCGCCAGAGGACCGCGTAGGGGGCTAGGTTCCCGGAAGCTCTCCGCACCGTCCCGGCAGATGGCTCCTCGCGGGTGGGCTCCCTCCCCGTGTTCTCCGCTGCCCTCGTCCTAGGCCTTGCCTCGGCCTTTCTAGAAAAATGAACGTCAGCCTGTTCAGTCCTAGTGTTGGCTTAATATAACGTCGCCGGTGAGCTCCAGCACCATAGCTAGTAGCCCACACGGCCGCAACGTCGCCCCAACCCCGGGGTCGCCGCGGCCCCAGGTCTCGCGATAGTTACCTCCCGGGACTCAAGCCGCTGGAGGACACGCAGGCGCACTGGCGAATGTAAGCGGAGTATAGCGCTTCGGCCTCCGCGTACTCGCCCTTGTTGAAATGAGCCTGGGCGAGGGCTAGGGTTGCGTGGCTCTCTTGCTCCTGCTGCCCTTCCATAGCAGCCAAGGCCTAGTTTTCCGTGTAGAATCGGGGTTAACCTCTGAGCGGTTAGAGGTGGCACCACAAAGCCACTTCCGCACCCTGAATCTACCTTCACAGCCAACCTTTGCGCTAGGTTTGTGCCTTTTGGGGACCCGTCGTCTCGCGAGATAACTGTTCCGTTGCAGGTAGGCGTTTGCAGTGACCCCCCGAGAGATACGATTCTGACGTTGTTACCGTTGGACCCCACTGCCTCGTTTACCAGAAGAGGCGTAGATGCGTGGTCGCAAACTGATTTCCAAGTTCATTGTTTGATGCTAGGAGGCGCTAGCCGTTTGTTACAGCGGATTGGGGGCCGATGACGCTGGAGGCGGAAGAAGCCACGGTTCTGCTTCTGAATGGCGAGTTCGTCTGAGGACTTCCTGTCTCTCCCAAGCCTTTCAGCGTCCCCACTTTAAACTCCGCGTTTAGGGAGTTCTGAGTAGGCTTTGGCTGCCCTGAGACGCTGAGTCGACGTTGCACGAGGTCTTTGTCCCAAGGTCCAAACTTCTCTACCATTTTGACCCTCTAGAATTGTGTTAGGATCAGTAGTATATTGTGTCGAAAGTCTGGGATTTTTGATGTTATATTCCCTGGCTATTTATGCCAAAGGGAAATCCAAATAGTAATTAGGTACATTACGTTTAATTTAAAATTAAGAACAGTTGCTAGCCACGCTACCCTACATGTCTGCCGTGCGCCTTTTCGGGGTCCCTCAATTCTGTTTTAACTTCCCAAAGTACTTGAGCCCCTTTCCGCAGGAAAACTAAAGATGAAAAAAATACATTTGGAGCATGATACTTGCATGCGGAAGTCTTAACAGGACATAAATTGTGTGCTTTTTTGCTGCTTTCATTCGATTTTTAATGTTTTCCATTTACCACCACTGAAAAAATACAAATACAGTGGATAAATGTTAAATAAAAACACAGTAGTAGAAAGTAAAAGATTGCATGACTACTGGTGTAGGCAAACGGATACCTTAGCATAACAAAAGCCCAGAAACATGCCCCAAATAGGCTGTATTTTGTAAAAGACATGTAACGTTTGGAAAAAAACAGATTATTCAAATGAGTGCTATTGGGAGGATTAGTTAACCATTTGGAGAAAAATACATTTAAGCATTTCAGCTCCCAATTGACATATTCATTCTAGGTGAATGAAAAGATTAAATAAAAAGTTTTTTCAGTTCCCATTTTGCCTCTTGGGGCAATGTCATCTTTTCCATATGAAAAAAAAAACACACAAATTGAAGTATAGGATAGAACAAAACCAACTGTGTGTTCTGGGGGGAAGCAACAGAAAAACAAAGACGAGATGTTGCAAAAAAGATGGAGGAGGGTTCCCCTCTCCTCAGGGGAAGGACTCAAACAATGATGTGGCAGTATGCACCGTCCCACATAAAGCCAGGGATGTTCATCATTTTGGCAGATAAGATGGGGATGGCCAAGCATAGTGGCACATGCCTATAATTCCAGAACTTGGGGAGGCCGAGGGGGGCGGATCACCTGAGGTCAGGAGTTCGAGAACAGCCTGGCCAACATGGCGAAACCCTGTCTCTACTAAAAATACAAAAAATTAGCTGGGTGTGGTGGCTGGTGCCTGTAATCACAGCTATTCAGGAGGCTAAGACACGAAAATCACTTGAACCTGGGCAGCAGAGGTTGACAGTGAGCCGAGATTGCTCCACTATACCCCAGCCTGGGAGACAGAGCAAGACTCCGTCTCAATAAACAAAAGAAAAAGAAAAGGTGGTCGTTAGGAGGGTATTTCTCCTAAATGGAGGGAAAAAATGGACTCCAAGGGGAAAAAAAAAAAAGTAGAAGAAAAGTCTTAAATAGAGGCTGGCGGCCGGGCGCGGTGGCTCACGCCTATAATCCCAGCACTTTGGGAGGCGGGGGCAGGTGGATCACGAGGTCAAGAGATCGAGACCATCCTGGTCAACATGGTGATACCCTGTCTCTACTAAAAATACAAAAGTTAGCTGGGCATGGTGGCACGCGCCTGTAGTCCCAGCTACTCGGGAGGCTGAGGCAGGAGAACTGCTTGAACCCAGGAGGCCGAGGCTGCGGTGAGGTGAGATCGCACCATTGCACTCCCCCCTGGGTAAAAAGAGTGAAACTCCGTCTAAAAAAAAAAAAAAAAATAGAGGCTGGCTTTGTTAAGCCTGGAAAAGAAAATTATAAAGCATCTGATAGAATTAACTATAAAAAGGCAGAAAGAAATTTGCAACTTGCAAAAACAGTTGCCATCTTTAACATATGTGAACTTTCTTCTCAAATATTTGTTGAGCATATACTATATGCCACACAATTTTGAAACCTTTAAGTATGACAGTGAACAAAAAGGAGTCCCTGCCATCTCTGAACTTAGCCTAGTAGAAAGATACACACAAAACACACACACACACACACACCAGATGGTGAGTAGTGCTATGGAGAAAAAACAGTACAGGGAATAGAGAAAAGGTGGTTTCTAATTCATAACGGATGGATGGAGACTTCAAAGGAAAAGTGACATCCTAGTAAAAACCTGAAGCAAGTAAGGGAGCAAGCCATACTAATAACGGGCAGAGGAAACAGCAAGTGTAAAAGCCCTGAGTGGAAGTTTTTTGAGACGGGGTCTCACTCTGTCACCTGGACTGGAGAGCAGTGGCGCAGGCTCACTGCAGCCTCAACCTCCCTCTGGGGCTCAGTGATTCTTCCACTTCCGCCCCCTGAGATTAATCACTCCGTGCTAATTTTTGTATTTTTTGTAGAGATGGGTTTCCCCATGTTGCCCAGGCTAATCTCCAACTCTTGGGTTCAAGACATCTGCCCACCTCAGTCTCCTAAAGTGCTAGGATTACAGGCATGAGCCACCGCACCTGGCTAGAAGTTTTCCTTTGTTCTGTTCAAGGAATAACAGGGATATTTATGTGTCTAAAAACCAGTGATCTAAGAGGAAAATAGCAGAATATGTAATGGAAGTTGGGGATTTGGGAAGGGGGGGTTCTAGACAGGAGTAAGATTCTTAATCTTTTTTGTGCTACGGCACCTTTGCAAGTGTGATGAAACCGTTTCAGTGTTTTGAGGTGTATTTAAAGCAGGACTACAAAGGAAATTATATTTAAAAAACAGAATATTAACAAATTTAGAAAAAATATATACTTTTATTAACATTATCAAAAACAAGTGGCAAACAAAAAGCTAGCAGAGGAAGAAAATAATAGAAGATTAAAACATAGATAAAACAGAACAGAAAAACAGAAACAAAACCTAAAGTTGATTCTTCAAAAAGATTAACAAAAATTAATAAAACTTGAGCTAAATTGACTAAGATAAAAGACTCAGATTACTAAGATCAGAAATGAAAATGGGAACATTACTATCAATTCTACAGAAATAAAGAGGCTTTAAGAGAGTACTATGAACAATTGTATACCAAAAAATGGGACAAACTAGATGAAAGGAACAAATGCCTAGAAACCAAAAACATACCAAGATTGTATCATGAAGAAATAGAAAATCTGAATAGACCTGTGTATTATTCTGCTCTCATACCTGAGACTGGGAGATTTATTAAAAAAAAAAAAAAAAAAAAGGTTTAATGGACTCACAGTTCCATGTGGCTGGGGAGGCCTCACAATCAATCATGGCAGAAGGCAAAAGGCACGTCTTACATGGCAGCAGGAAAGAGAATGAGAGCCAAGTGAAAGGGGAAATCCCTTATAAAACTATCAGATCTTGTGAGACTTATTCACTACCACGAGAACAGTATGGGGGAAATTGCCCCATGATTCAGTTATCTTGCACCAGCTCCCTCCCACAACATGTGGAAATTATGGGAGCTACAATTCAAGATGAGATTTAGGTGAGGACACAGACAAACTATATCAACCTGTTTAACTTGTAAGGAGATTCAACGAGTAATTTAAAAATAACCTCTTGACAAAAGCCCTGGACCCTGGCTTCACTGATGAATTCTACTAAATATTTAAGGAAGAACTAACACCAGTCTTTCTTAAACTCTTCCAAAACATTTAAAAAGAAAATGCTAAGTCAGTCTATAAAGTCAGCACTGCTATGACACCAAAGCCAAATAGAAACTAGAAGAAAACTGCAGATCAATATAGTTTATGACATTAATGCAAAAACTTCAACAAAATAGTAGCAAATTGAATTCAGCAGCATATTAAAAGGATTATACACCATGACCTAGTGGAATTTATTCCTAGAATGCAAGGATAATTCCACACATGAAAATCAACCAATGGCAGATGAGGAAAAAAAAATCAATGTAATACAGCACAGTAACAGAATGGAGGAAAAAAACTGTATGATCACTGCCATTTAGTTAGAGAAAGCATTTGACAAAAATTCAAAAGCCTTTCATGTCAAAAACACTCAAGCAGGCAATAGAAGGAGTCTACCTCAACATAATAAAAGACATATATAAAAAACACGTAGTGAACATCATACTGAACAGTGAAAAACTGAAAGCTTATCCTACAAAATCGGGAACAAGGCAAGGATGCTCACTTTTGTACTCCTATTCAACATAGCACTGGAAGTTAGCCAGAGTAATTAAGCAAGAAAATAATCTTTAAAAAGTTATCCACATTGGAAAGGAAGAGGTAAAATTATCTCTGTTCATAAATGATATGCTCTTACAGATAACACTAAAAATTCCATTTTAAAAACAGTTATAACTAATGAAGTTGGCAAGGTAGGGGGATATGAAATCACACAAAAATTAGTCGCATTTTTATATACTAACAATGAAGCTATCCCAAAAGTAAGAAAACAATTCCAGCCAGGCACAGTGGCTCACACCTGTAATCCCAGCACTTTGGGAGGCCAAGTTGGGTGGATCTCTTGAGGTCAGGAGTTCAAGACCTGCCTGGCCAACATGGCAAAACCCCATATCTACTAAAAATACAAAAATTAGCCAGGTGTGGTGGCAGGCACCTGTAATCCCAGCTACTCAGGAAACTGAGGTAGGAGACTCACTTGAGCCTGGGAGATGAAAGTTGCAGGGAGCCAAGATCACACCTGATACCACTGCACTCCAGGCTAGGTGAGAGAGAGAGAGACTCAGTCAAAGGAAAGGAGAGGGGAGGGAAGGGGGGATGCGGGGTGGGGGGGCGGGAGGGGGGCAGGGGAGGGAAGGTGAGGAGAAGGAGAGAAAGCAAGGAAGGAAGGAGAGGGAAAAGAAAGAAAACAATTCTACCTACAGTAGCATCAAAAATATATATATTTAGGAGTTAACCAAGAAAGTAAAAGATTTGTACAATTTAAACTATAAAAGAGAGTCTAAAGATGGCGGCCTTAGCAGCAAGAGATGCTGTGGTGCTGTGTGGAAATATCAGTCAGCCGGTTGCTTTTGTGAAAAAAAATTCTTAGACTGAAGCGTCCAGTCAGCTGAGAGCACTTTGCACAGTTTGGACATATATGAAATTGTATTGTACCTTTTGACAAGGAGACTGGCTTTCACAGAGGTTTGGGTTGGGTTCAGTTGTCTTCAGAAGAAGAACTTCAGAATGCACTAGAACAGGAAAATCATATTCTAGTTGGAGTAAAGCTCCAGGTTCAAGCTCAAAGGCCAAAAGGTTTGCAAACATCTGATGACGACAAAGATTTTTGAGACCGCCAGCCTATTAAAGTTAACATACTGGAAAAAAAAAAACTAAAACATTGCTAAAAGAAATTAAAGAAGACATAAATAAATAGAAAGACATCTCATGTTCCTGGATTAGAAGACTTAATATTGTTTAGATGTTAGTGTTATATAAATCAATCTTCAGATTCTATGGAATCTTTATCAGAATCCCAGTGATGTTTCTGCAGAAATAGAAAACTCCCTCCTAAAATTTATGTGGAATGACAAGGGCTCTCAAATAGCCACAACAATTTTGGAAAAAGAACCAAGTTGAAGAACTCACTTCCTGATTTCAAAACTTACTACAAGTGTGTTATTGGCATAAAGACGGTTTTATAAACAAATGATGCTAGGAAAGCTAGATATCCACATGCAAAAGAATGAAGCTGGGCCAGGCGCGGTGGCTCACGCCTGTAATCCCAGTACTTTGGGAGGCCGAGGCGGGTGGATCACGAGATCAAGAGATCGAGACCATCCTGGTCAACATGGTGAAAACCCCGTCTCTACTAAAAAAAAAAAATACAAAAGATCAGCTGGGCATGGTGGCGCATGCTTGTAATCCCAGCTACTCAGGAGGCTGAGGCAGGAGAATTGCCTGAACCCAGGACGCGGAGGTTGCGGTGAGCCAAGATTGCGCCATTGCACTCCAGCCTGGGTAACAAGAGTGAAACTCCGTCTCAAAAAAAAAAAAAAAAAAAAGCATGAAGCTGGACTCTTACACGATATATAAAAATTAACTCAAAATAAGCATGACCTAAATGTAAGAACTAAAATTGTAAACTCTTAGAAAAAAATATACAACAAAAGCTTAACAACACTGAACTTGACAATGATGTTGTGGATATGACACCACTGGCATAGGTAACAGAAGAAAAAACAAATTGAGCTTGATGAGAATTTAAAAACCTTTCTGCATCAAAAGACACCCTCAGAGTAAAAAAGCAACCCACAGAATAAAACAAAATATTTACAAGACACATATCTGATAAGTGATTAATACCCAGAATATATAAAGAACTTCTAAAAACAACAACAACAAAGCGAAACAATCTAATGCAGAAACAGGCAAAGGATTTGAATAGAATTTTCTTGAAAGAAGATACATATATGGCCAATAAGAACGTGAAAAAATGCTCAACGTCACTAATAATTAGGGAAATGCAAATCAAAACTACAATCAAATACCACTTCACATCATTCCAGTAGGATGGAAACTATTAAGAAGAAGTAAGTGTTGGTGAGGATGTGAAGAAGTTGGAATCTTCGTGCACTACTGTTGAGAATGTAAAATGGTGCAACCACATGGCATGACACTTCTTCAGAATACTAATAATAAAATTACTATATGGTTCAGCAATTCCACTTCTAAGTATATACCCAAAATAACTGACAACATAGTCTTAAAGAGATATTTACACATCCAGGTTCATAGCAGTATTGTTTGCAATAAGTAAAAGGTGGAAGCAACCCAAGTGTCCATTAACAGATGAGTGGATAAGCAAAATGTGGTATATTCATACAATGGAATATTATTCAGTCTTGAACAGAAATTCTGACATGTGCTACAACATGGATGAACCTTGAGGACATTACATGAAGTGAACTAAGCCAGTCACAAAAAGACTAAACGATTCCATTTTTTTTTTTAAGAGACAGGGTCTCAATATGTTGCCCAGGCTGGAGTGCAGTAGCTATTCACAGGCGCAATCCCACTACTGATCAGCACGGGAGTTTTGACCATTTTTACGAGGTACCTAGAGTAGCCAAATTCATAGAGACAGAAAGTAGAATGTGGTTGCCAGGGACAGCCGTAGGGGGATAGGAAGTTATCGTTCAATGAGCATACAGTTTCAGTTTTGCAAGATAAAGAATTCTGGAAATTAATGGTGGGATGGATGGTGGTGGAGGTGGTAGCGGTGGAATGCGTACAATATGAATGTACTTAATAAATGTAGTTAATACCACTTTAACCATACACTTAAGAATGATTAAGATAGGCAAGGTGCAGGGGCTCATGTCTGTAATCCCAGCCCTTTGGGAGGCTGAGGTGGGAGGATTACTGTGCTCAGGAGTTTGAGGCTGCAGTAAGCTATGATTGTGCCACTGCACTCCAGCCTGGGCAACAGAGCTAGACCATGTCTTGTAAAACATTAAATTTTTAAAAAAATTTATAAATGGTTAAGATAGTAAATTTTATGTGTATTTCATAATATAAAAAATAAGGAAAAATCAAGTGCCAAGTGTGTTTTCTGTAAGAGATCGTCACATCAACATTGCATTGAAGTCATTATTACCGTGTTTCTATTCATTGGTTTTGTTGCATCCACTGTGGTTTCTGCTCTATAAGGGTAGTTGCTATGAGCATAGATATTACATGTTATATCTATGTCTACAGATACTTGTACATATTACATTTTCATTGTGAATACCAGCTTTTAGCATTATAAAGCATTCTTGCTTGTAGTATTTTAACTCACCACATCAGCAAATTGAAGAAAAATCTCAACAGATGTAGAAAAGGCAGTTAATAAAATTCAACTCCTTAGCAAACTAGGACAAGAAGACACACTTATTAAAACCTGACAAAATATCTACAGAAAATATAATAAGCAATGAATTATTAAAATATGGAAGAATTTCCTTTAAGACAAGGATATCCAATATCATCACTTTAATTTTTCACCATTGTATTGGGTATCCTAGCCAGTGCAATAAAATGCTTAAAAGAAATAAAAGATATGAAGATTGAGAAGTATATAAAAAAAAGCAGTCATTAAACACCGGTTATTTGGTTGTATATGTAGAAAGAAGTGCAACGGACTGAGTGACAAAACATTTTTGAAGAAGTAAAACAAAGCAGGACTTGTACCAGATAGCAGGACCTATTTTAAAAACTGTAATAATAGAGACATTCTGCTTTGAACCAAAGAAAGACAAACAGATCAATAGAATAGAAAAAGAAATGAGAAATTGTTACTTACATATATGGACTTGATTTTTTTTTTCATATAAATTGCACATCAGCGTGGAAAGGGTGGACTTCAATCAGCTTAAGGTATAATTTACATTAATTTTCTTAACGTTAGAGAAATATCTAAGGAGCTGATAACTCTCAGTATAATGACCTAATAACAGTAGTTTATTCTGTCTTACGTGTTTTTCTTCTGTTAAATTCAAATAAAATAGGAATCTTATTAAAAAACAAAACTACCAATGTTAAGTGAAAAATTTGATGAGTTTTAACAAACGTGGAGTCATGTAATCAGCACTAAAACCAAGGTAAAGAACATTTCTATCATCCCACCAAGCTCCTTCGTACACCTTTGAAATCAATCACCTCCCCACTCCCTGATCCCAGGTACTACTTTCTATAACTATGATTTTGTCTTTTCTAAAATTTCATATAAATAACATCATACAATATGCTGTCTTTTATGTCTGGCTTTTTGCACGTAGCACAGTGCTTTTGAGGTTCATCTATGTTGTTACTTGTGTCGGTAATTCATTCCTTTTTATTGCTGAGTTGCATTTCACTGGGTGGATAATCCACAATTTGTTTATATTATATATTTACATATTAATGGATAGTTGGCTTCTTTCCAGTTTTTGTCTACCATAAATAAAACTTATGTACATTTGCATTCAAGTCTTTGTATAAATGTGTTTTGATTTCTTCTGGGTAAATTCCTAAGAGTGAGATTTCTGGGTTCCATGTTAAGTGTATATATAAATTTAGAAGAAATGTCCAAACTTTTCCCAAGTGAGTGTACTGTTCTGCATTTCCATCAGCAATATATGAGAGTTTCAACTGCTCTATACCCCCACCAACATTTTTCTTGTCAATTTTACCCATCGTAGTGTGTAGAAGCATCTCATTTTTTCTAAATCTCTCTCAATTTTACTAACTAGAAATTTAAACTATGCCAAACAATAAATGAGTACTTAAATAATAGCCCTAAGCCTTTTAATGTTTTTCTTTTAAAGAAATCTCTTAAGAACAAATATAGCTCTTGGTATGAAGAAACAATTATACAAATTTCTTCAGTGTCACTTCAGTTTTTTTTCTTCTCTTAAATTCAACTAAAATGTTTTTTACTTATAAAGATTATTAAGACTAATTTTACTTTCTCATCTATACTATTATGTATTTTTGGAAATTTCTACTATGAACATTTGTTGGTTTTATACTAAAAAAATAAATATTAAGAAAAAATGAATTGAAAAATGGTCTTTAAAATAGACAGTAGAGGCAACATATTATTGCTATTTTTATTTTGAAACTCTATAGAAAACCTTGGACCTACAACATTATCAAATTTAGTATTCTTTATTTTCTCTTATAGGTCTAGTAAGACATAATTTTCTTCATTCCTAAATGAGAACTCAGCATGACCATTAAGGAGTAGTTCACAGCAGCCTCCAATTGTCTGACATTTGCCTAGTGTCTCTGGAAGACTGCTGGGGTTTTTCCCCCTTGTTTTGGTTGTGAAAGTGGTATTGTATATCTATTGTACCTCCTGCTCCCTTTTCCCCTTCTGCACCCTGAAACCCAATACCCTCCTAACCAACCCCCATCAGAATACTTAAATGAAGACAAAGCAAACACCATGTTCTCCATAAGTTATAAAGAAAACATGGGATAAACACAAGTTATTTTTCTTCAGTTTTTATTATTTTCATACTTTTTCATTTAATACTACATAAAATCTAAGATCTCAGCTCTTGGAATACAGAAAAGTAATTTCAAAGTATATTTTAGCAAAATACACTTTATATGAAATTGGCATTTGTGAATTATAGCACGCTAATGTTGTTGTGTTGCTTGTTAGGCACACTGCTATTTGTACAGCTTCATCAGTCAGTTCCATCATTTCAGTACTTTGACCCACCACACCATTTTGAAACGTGTAATTCAGGGCAAGTTTTATAATAAAAATAACTTGGCATTACTCAAAGGGAGTCAGTACATGTTTTTTGCAAGAACAATATAACTACTTCATGATGCTATCTTCAGTACACCACCTAATTCTGTTTATGCAACTTCTCACCAGGTAATTGTTTTTTACGGTCAGTTTTGCTTTTCTTTGTCCTCCTAATCAAGGGAGAGTTTGTCAGCATTTTTTCTTACCTTGACATTTCCTTCATGTCAAATAAAACCACCTGGATCGACTCATAATACAGGTTCTTTCTCTAGTACCATTTACATACAAGACAAAGGTCCCCAAAACATCATGGCAGATCATTAAAACTTTCACAGATACAGATCCCAAAGAGGCATAAGCTTTTACAAAAGTAAAAAAGATGTGTTTTTCTGTGTACATATGCACACACACACACACACATATACATATATGATAATTAGGTCCACAAGGTATAAGAGGTGGTTTTTAGAGATACTGGTTTCTGGATCCAACTGAACTAGAAATACCAACTAGATATTGTTGAAATATCAGCGAGATCCAGCAACTCAGGATCTATCTGGAGTAAGTAGTTGGGGGGAAAATTCTAGGGCTCAGGCAGCACGGAATTAGAGGAAAATTAGGGGAAGGCTCCAAAAGACACTTTCCAAAAGATAGGTGAAGTCTGAGGCGTCAACAGGTGATTCTAGAATTAAAGCAAATGAAAGTGTAACCAACGCATCACCTTAAGGGGCAAGAGACATGACAATCAAAGGAATTCTCAGCTGATTCCTGAAATAGGAAAGGGAAAGAAGAGATACTCAAGCATTAGATCATGGACCAAGAATTGCGGCTTTGGCAGCTTTGACCAAGCCATCCTGCACGAACCTTTCAGACAGGCAAAGCTAGTAAGTGACCATCCCTACAACCCTGAACATTTCTCTTTCCTCGATGAAGTAGAAAATAGTCTCATCCCTAAAAACAAAATCCTGTGGAAAGAAGTAATTTCAACAGGAGATATATTGTCTTAGACAGACTTCTTTGTTAGGATGTGATTTGGGGAAATTTCCCCTTCTGGTATAGAAGAGAACAAATGAGAAAGATGGAATTCATTGGGTTAAATTTAGGTAAGTTAGTAACTTAGGAGACATATTAGACAAAGTTAACAGAGCATGTATGTGTGACTACAGATTGGAAAGGAGCAAGAGATACCAAATATTCATGAAGCACTAAAAATATGAAAAGCCACAAAGGTACCACATATTCATGACACACAAAGTATACATGAGACACATAAAGGCCTCAGTATGTGTGGGAAGTTGATTCAATTACCCACTGGTGACACTCATTCTGGCCTGACCTTACCCAAGAAATACAATAAAATTCACAACTGCTCAGAAGCCTAATAGGCAAGCTATTGCTGCGGCCAACTGTACTTGCCCCCCGAGACTCTTCTATACAGCAAGTGTACGCTGTTGGCCTCAGGCACATTTCCTCTGACTGAGTCCTCTGGCTCAAACGGCCACTCTGATCCTCTTTGTAACCCCACTATTACGGGAAAGCTCGTATGACAGAGTGCGCGTCAGGACATACAAACATTACATAACACAGGATTCAGGTCTTACAGTCTTTCCACCCACTGGCACCCTACACTAACAGTGTTAATCTATCATTGCTTTCTCCTTGTTCTTCACGGTGTATTGCAAATTGGTTCAACAAACCAATGTATTTTGAGAATTTTTATTTGGTATGTAAGGCTTTCTCTTCCATGATCTCTGGTGTAGCTTGCTAGGTAGTTTATTTGGAGGCTACCAATGTACCAAGGTAATTTTCCACAAGGTGCATGAATACAGACAGAGACCTCAAAGACTTCTGGTCTTCTCTTTTTACTTAGGCCCATGAGCCCACTATCTATCCTAAACTCATCTAGGCTCTAAATCTCTTCTCATAGCTCACTGTTCCCAATCTGCAACACGCTGAACTTGTCTCTGTCTCTACAAGACAAAAACAAATCAGATTGAGAACTGTAGCTACAATAACAAAGCTGCATATCTCTCTGTATGTATTGCCTCTACTAAATGTAAGCCAAACCGCAATAAAATAATCTTGATGAAATAGTGCAAAGGTCTGGTGTTTAGGCACAAAATGAAATTCATCACAAATAAACAGAGAACATTATTGACTATATAAAAGACATAAAAAATGATCCATTTCAGATCACAGCTGTTTATCTTTTAAATTAATAATGAAAACAGATGCATATCAAGAAAGAATCACTCCCTCAGCAATATTTGTATAAATGAAGGGTCCAGCTTAGTAACAATGTTTCAAAAGAAGCTATAACTACAAAATTGATATTTTTGTTTATTTTCATTATAAATAGAGCAAAATTTTCTGCACAATGGTATGAAAGTATAAATTCCAAATGCCATCTCTTGAATGAGACTTTTAGGATAGATTTTAAAATAGAAGAATAGGACTACTAGAAGCAATTTAAACTGTAAAAAAAAAAAAAGTCTTCAAATGCTATCACCTCACTTCTGAAAATATAACAGAGAAGACATTCGATGCTTATTTAATTAAATACAGCTACAGAGAGAGCTCATTTCACTATTACAATTAACTTCCTAGTCATATGTGTTACAAAAATTCTCTAAATTCAACTTTGTCCCATTCCCATGCTTCCCCCATTCCCCACTCCCTTTAAGATTTTTTAATGAATTAAGTTATCTTGACACTGTGAGAAAAATATTTATTTGGAATATTCCCATGGTATCATATGATCAAATACAAGACAGAGAGGGAGAGAGAAAATATGGTTGATTTTTCATACATTTTATATGAAAATCAGCCTTCTTATTTCACAGGTATATTTCTGTAAAAAAAATTATTATATTAACATATATTTTGTGCAAAAACTCAACTATAAATAATGAGGCTAATTTTCATACAAAACTCATTGAAATAAACCTTATTACATACACAGTTCTTGCTATGTATGTTTGCTACATATATTTTACAGTTATATACAGGTCATCATTCCTTTATCCCACTGGACTGTGGCATAAGGGGCAGAAGCTATAGTGGCTTATTTCCTGAGCAAGGACACAGTGCTTGCATACACCACACATCCAGAACTGATACTCAGTGATCGGGCTCCCCGTGGCAACACATGTTGGCAGTTTCCCTTCTCCACTGTAAAATAAGACAAGAATCAATTCATTATACTTTAAAACTTCTAATTAATCTAACTTATTTAATACACTTTAAAAAATAATGAATAAAACAATTCAAGATTAACGTCAAATACTGTCATTTCAAAAAGTGTTCTCAAGAAAAAACCTTTCTTACAATGAAAAAATAAAGCATAAACACAGCTGTAAGAATAAAATAGGGTATAATGTTAATGTAAGTTGCTTCAAAATTTACTGCTTTAATTCCTACATTAAACATTGTACATCTAGAAATCCAAGCTTCTAATAAGGCAGAATGACATCACTAATTAAAATTAACCTACCCTTCCATAAGGCTGTCGTCCAATTCAGATTTTCTGTTGTCTGTTGAAGTATACTTGGTGAAGATTTCTAAAGCGAGGTCTTCATACTGTTGTTTCTGTTCTGAACTGAGAGTCTCTAAAGAAGTAAGTTTAATGAAAGCTTTTGAACAAGTCCCGAAGGCTCTGCTGGCGCATGCGCAGAGTGCTAGCAGAGAGTAGATCTCCACAGCAGGGATGATGTCTTCATAGTCTTTCAGGTGAAGAGCTAAGAAAAAGAGGGCAATTTGGGTTTTTAAAAATAATTATGAACATGCATAAGGAAGAATCTAAGTTAAAGTGTTTTCATTGAACTTGCATTAACTAAGGGACTGAAAGCAAACAGTGCTGAGAGATGGGAGCACTAGGAGGAGGAACTAAGCTACATGACATCCAAGGTTCTGCGAAGCTGGCTAGCAGCTCATCCTGTGAAAAGAGCCACCACCAAATGCTGCACGTGGCTGTGCCAACTCAGAAATACACACACACACACACACACACACACACACACACACACACGAATAATTTTGGTGTCAAAACACCCACCTTTTCTTCGATTCTGTTAGAAAGTTCTATGGCACTTCAGAAAAAGCAAATATTATGTTAGTCATAAACTGTAAGACAATACTGTGTTTCCTTTTGTTAAAAAAAAAAAAGCAAAACAGTATAAAATCGTATGTTTTTTTCTTCGTGTTTCTTTGGACAGATTATATTGCTTTTGTATTATTGCTTTCGTTGTTTGTCTCACTGAAACAGGGATTTTGAGAAAAAGTGAAAATGAGTCTCCAAGTTGTCAGTTCGGATAATTCAAGTTACAGCATCTTCTTTGCAATTATACTGGAAATACAATCTTTCTTTAAAATGCACTATAGACAATATTAGATTTGTAACCAATTTGAATCTTTTTCAAGGTTGCCTAATGAAATAAGCTCTAGGGTTCAATAGCACAGTAGGCTAACTATATTTAACATTAATTTACTGAATATTTCTAACTAGCTAGAAGAGAAGATTTATAATGTTCCCAAAGCAAAGAAATCATAAATGCTTGAGGTGATAGAGATGGCAGATATCCTAATTACCCTCATACGAGCATTACACGTTATATGTAGGAAGATATCACATGTACCCCACAAATATGTACAATTATGTATCAATAAAAAACAAAAAATTTTCAACGATGCTTCTGAATGAGAAAACTTACAAACACAGAAACAAGTCCAATAGGCCAGGTGCAATGGTTCATGCCTGTAATCCCAGCAGTTTGGGAGGCCGAGGTGGGTGGATCATCTGAAGTCAAGAGTTTGAGACCAGCCTGACCAACACAGTGAAACCCAATCTATACTAAAAATACAAAAATTAGCTGGGATGGTGGCAGATGCCTATAATCCCAGCTACTCGGGAGGCTGAGGCAGGAGAATTGCTTGAACCCAGGAGGCGGAGGTTGCAGTGAGCCAAGATTGCACCATTGCACTCCAGCCT